TCATCGAGACGCTGACCTTCCTCAAAAGATGCCACGATCACATCGCTTTCACACTCACTTCTGCTGCTGTATCTTCTCCGAATTCTAAACAAATTCTGCTTAAGGCCAGCCTATCTTTACTCTCAGAGAGGATAAGGCTACTCCGATTTGAACTCGATACTTTAGACAGGACTCTCCTACAAGCTCATTTAATGTCAACACAAAAAAATGTCACCTTCTGATTGTAATCACGTAGACAACATGACTGCTTCTTCTGCTGAGTCACTGTCAGTCAAATGTAAAGCTAACATGATTTCTAAATTCAACCACCTATCAAAGAAGAACCCAGTTCCACATATAACAAAACTAGATGTTAACAAAATCGTCATTAATCAGAGTAGCACCCCGATTTCAGACAATCTGAAAACAGTACTGGCTAGGGGACTAAATTTTGCTGTCACCCCAAAACACATACCAATAGATGATATAATCTCTCAGGTCGATGTAGCCCTCAAAGGTGTAGGACACATCCAAGCAGACGTTGCGAGAGCTGAAATAGCCACTATTCTTAAGAATGCTAAGAAACCCATTAGTAACATCACCAAAAATGAACGCTCTGAACTCGCGAATTTAAAAAACAGAAGTGATATAGTCATCCTCTCAGCCGATAAAAGAAACGCTACTGTTATTATGGATAAAGATTCATACAACAACAAAATCCAGAATCTGCTCAACGATGGAAGTTACTCAAAAATAAAAAATGACCCTACTAATAGCCTAGCGATGAAAACCAACAAGATCATCACAAGTTCGACCTCCCTAATCGACCCAACTAAACGTCCCTCCCTAAAACCTTCTGCTGCAAGACCCCCTAGATTCTATGGTCTTCCCAAGATTCATAAAGAAGGCACCCCACTTCGACCCATCGTATCCACGATCAACTCCCCTACCTATAGACTAGCCCGTTTTCTGTCAGATAGCTTGCTGCCTTTCACTGGCAAGACCGCCTCAGCAGTACTTAACTCAGCCCAATTGGTCTCTATGGTCAAAGACGTTGTACTGTCCCCTGACGATATCCTTGTCAGCTTCGATGTGGTCTCTTTGTTCACCAAGGTCCCAGTACCTGATACCATTGAAATAATAAAAAAATTGGTCCAACATGGACTAGACCCTGACACACCTGCACTGGTTAGGCACTGCCTCAACAATACCTACTTTACTTGGAATGGCTCCTTCTACAAACAAAATGAGGGTACCCCCATGGGATCCCCCTTATCACTAGTGATAGCCAATATTTTCATGGAGAAAATTGAATCAGACGCCATCCAGACTTCCACCCTCAGACCTTCCCTGTGGAAGAGATATGTGGATGACACTTTCGTCATTTGGCCACATGGCCTCCCAGCTCTGAACCTTTTCCTACACCACATCAATTCCAGACATCCCGCCATCAAATTCACCATGGAAGTGGAGAAAGATGGCAAGCTACCATTCTTAGATGGTATGTTTGAGAGGAGACCTGATGGCTCATTGGTGCATTCTGTCTACAGGAAACCCACCCACACAGATTCCTACTTGAAACCTGATTCCCACCACCAACCAGCCCAAAATAATTCTCTCATCAAAACTTTATACCATAGGGCTCATTGCATTTCGGACCAACACCACTTGACCAGTGAATTAAAACATGTACACCTGGCCCTCAAAAGGAATGGTTACTCTGACCGTACCATCCGCCAAGCTGTCTCTCACTCCATACAGAAACAACCACTTGATACTCCGGTCAAAACCATCACACTTCCATATATAGCAGGCGTTACTAAAAAGATTTCCAAAATTCTAAACAAACACAAGATCCAGGTCCGGTTCAATACAGTACACAAAATTCGTGATCTGATCCCATCCATGAAGGATGTCATTCCTGATTTACAGTACCCCGGGGTTTACAAATTGAGTTGTACCTGCGGTGATTGCTATATCGGTGAGACAAAGCGACATGTCTCTGACCGAATTCGCAAGCACAAATCAGATTTGAAACACGGTAAAACGAATTCTTCTGCCGTGGCTGATCACTGTTACAACGCTGTGGGGGATCACGATATAATTTTCTCCGATACCAAGGTTCTTTGCAAACCCACGGGCTTTTATCAGAGATTTGTTCATGAAGCAATTCAGATCTACAAACACGGACACAATTTCAACCGAGAGGATGGTTTCAAATTAAGCAACCATTGGAAAGATGTTCTAAATCGAACTAAACATTAAAACTAATTTCAATGGTACAGTATATTTTTCAAGTAGTGGTACCCCAAACTTTCGCAGCTCTTATAAATTCCCTTTTCACACCATCAATAGGTAAACTCCCCCTCCCCCCCCTTCCCCCCCCCCCCCGCGCCAAACGGCAAGTCCACCGGCACGTACACCACCTCTTTCCTAAAATCCGCCAATCAAATGCTAATTTTTATGCTAATTTCTTTGTCAGAACACCTTGTTTGCTCACACACAGTTTAAAGGTCCGCTGTCTGAGCGTGGTTGTGTGTCGGTAAATTCTCCTGTTTGATGAGTACTAGGTGCCTCGGTGAATGTATATGCTGACTTTAACATAGCTATTTCTGTGACCAGTTACAAGCTAATCACTCAGCTATTTCAATGCTAAATTCTATGCTAATTCCTTTGTCAAGGGGTACCTCTGCGGATGTGTATACTTTAACTTAGCTATTTCAATGAGCCATTTCAATGCTAAATTATATGCTAATTCCTTTGTCAAGGCGCTTTGTGTTTTTCTTCTCACACAGCTTAAAGGTCGTGATCTAAGCGTGGCTTCTCCCACTCCAGCGCTGTCCTCCAGACAGTCTCGTCCCTTCACCTGATGAAGACCGCTTGTGTTGTGGCCGAAACGTCGTGATTTTTTGTTATTTTATTTTCACCTACGTGACTTTACCCAATAGAACCAAAAAAATTGAAAACAACTAAATTAAATCACGACGTTTCAGGCGCAAAACAAGTGTCCGTCATCAGGTGAAAACAACCCCAGCAATAAACAAATTGCTGAAATGGGCAAAAGGCTCCTTGTGACACGAGGTTATATATACGTAAGAGGGGGGGAGGAGCCAGGGAGGAGATATAGAGGGGGTGTGGGGTAGGGTAATTAATACAAACAATCCCGTGCATGTGTGTCTCCCCTTCATTGTGTGGCACTGGCTGCTGCTGCTGCCGCCGCCGCTAGGCGCTCGCTTCGTTTCAGAGGATGCCACTCGCACCGCAAACTCACAAGGGCGGGCAGTCCGCCTGGGGCTCAAGGCAGTCCGCCTGGAGCTCAAGGCAGTCCGCCTGGGGCTCAAGGCAGTCCGCCTGGGGCTCAAGGCAGTCTGCCTGGAGCTCAAGGCAGTCCGCCTGGGGCTCAAGGCAGTCCGCCTGGAGCTCAAGGCAGTCCGCCTGGAGCTCAAGGCAGTCCGCCTGGAGCTCAAGGCAGTCCGCCTGGAGCTCAAGGCAGTCCGCCTGGAGCTCAAGGCCTGGGGCTCAAGGCAGTCCGCCTGGAGCTCAAGGCAGTCCGCCTGGAGCTCAAGGCAGTCCGCCTGGAGCTCAAGGCATGGGGCTCAAGGCAGTCCGCCTGGAGCTCAAGGCAGTCCGCCTGGAGCTCAAGGCCGGGGGCTCAAGGCAGTCCGCCTGGGGCTCAAGGCAGTCCGCCTGGAGCTCAAGGCAGTCCGCCTGGAGCTCAAGGCAGTCCGCCTGGAGCTCAAGGCAGTCTGCCTGGAGCTCAAGGCAGTCCGCCTGGAGCTCAAGGCAGTCCGCCTGGAGCTCAAGGCAGTCCGCCTGGAGCTCAAGGCAGTCCGCCTGGAGCTCAAGGCCTGGGGCTCAAGGCAGTCCGCCTGGAGCTCACGGCAGTCCGCCTGGAGCTCAAGGCAGTCCGCCTGGAGCTCAAGGCATGGGGCTCAAGGCAGTCCGCCTGGAGCTCAAGGCAGTCCGCCTGGAGCTCAAGGCCTGGGGCTCAAGGCAGTCCGCCTGGGGCTCAAGGCAGTCCGCCTGGAGCTCAAGGCAGTCCGCCTGGAGCTCAAGGCAGTCCGCCTGGAGCTCAAGGCCTGGGGCTCAAGGCAGTCCGCCTGGAGCTCAAGGCAGTCCGCCTAGAGCTCAAGGCCTGGGGCTCAAGGCAGTCCGCCTGGGGCTCAAGGCAGTCCGCCTGGAGCTCAAGGCCTGGGGCTCAAGGCAGTCCGCCTGGGGCTCAAGGCAGTCCGCCTGGAGCTCAAGGCAGTCCGCCTGGCGCTCAGCAACAGTGCTGATGTTGCAACAGTAGTAATGCTGCTGCAGCAGTAGTAAAGTAGTAATGCTGCTGCAACAGTAGTAATGCTGCTGCAGCAGTAGTAATGCTACTGCTGCAGTAGTAGTGCTGCTGCAGTAGTAGTGCTGCTGCAGCAGTAGTAAAGCTGCTGCAGTAGTAATGCTGCTGCAGTAGTAGTAATGCTGCTGCAGTAGTAGTAATGCTGCTGCAGTAGTAGTGCTGCTGCAACAGTAGTAATGCTGCTGCAGTAGTAGTGCTGCTGCAACAGTAGTAGTGCTGCAGCAGTAGTACTACTCTAGCAGTAGTAGTGCTGCTGCAGCAGTAGTAATGCTGCAGCAGAAGTAGTGCTGCAGCAGTAGTAATGCTGCTGCAGCAGTAGTGCTGCTGCAGAATTCCTACTGCTGCAGCAGTAGTAGTGCTGCTGCAGCAGTAGTAATGCTGCTGCAGCAGTAGTAGTGCTGCTGCTGCAGCAGTAGTAGTGCTGCTGCAGTAGTAGTGCTGCTGCAGTAGTAGTGCTGCAGCTGCAGCAGTAGTAATGCTGCTGCTGCAGCAGTAGTAATGCTGCTGCTGCAGCAGTAGTAATGCTGCTGCTGCAGTAGTAATGCTGCTGCAGTAGTAAAGCAGTAGTAATGCTGCTGCTGCAGTAGTGCTACTGCAACAGTAGTAGTGCTGCAGTAGTAGTGCTGCAGTAGTGCTACTGCAACAGTAGTAGTGCTGCTGCAGTAGTAGTGCTTCTGCAGTAGTAGTGCTTCTGCAGTAGTAATGCTTCTGCAGTAGTAATGCTTCTGCAGCAGCAGTAGTGCTACTGCAGCAGCATTACTACTGCTGCTACTGCAGTAGTAGTAATTCTGCAGCAGCAGCAGCACTACTGCTGCAGAATTACTACTGCAGCAGCACTACTTCTGCTGCTACTGCAACAGTAGTAGTGCTGCTGAAGATGTTGCTAATTTTGCAAGGAAAAAAATCTCAAAAAGTTCATCTCCGGTGTTAATTTCTTTCACGTGATGAACAAAAACCGATAGACATTGTCACGACTCTCCCTCTTTATATAAACGCTGTGCCGATCCTTGCTATATAAATATGTTTATTTAAGATATCTTGGTTAAATATTAGTTTTTATCATCATAGGCCCTAGGCGCAGTGCCTACTGTGGCCTATGGGATAACGCGGACCCTAGGGGATAACGCGGACCCTATGGGATAACGCGGTCCCTATGGGATAACGCGGACCCTAGGGGATAACGCGGACCCTAGGGGATCCCCTCGGCACCCGCGGCTCGCCGCCCCTCCCCTTGGGGGCGTGCGGGGCGCGATTCGCCGCGGCCCCTTGGCGCGAGGGAGGCGGAGACCACGCGCACTGTACTCGCTACAGTAGCCGCCCGACTCTACACACCGGCACACCGCTCTCTCCTCTACTCTCTCTCTCTCCACTCTCTCTCCTCTACTCTCTCTCTCCACACTCTCCACTCTCTCTCCACTCCCTACTTTACACACTACGCTACACACCAGCACACCGCTCTCTACTCTCTCCACTCTCTCCACTCCCTACTCTACACACTACGCTACACACCGGCACACCGCTCTCTACTCTCTATCCACACTCTCTCCCCACTCTCCACTCCCTACTCTACACACTACGCTACACACCCATCTCCACACACCACTCTCTCTACTGCCACTCTCCGGCATCTGCACCGCTTCGCGGTCCATCTTCTCTGCACAACTCTCCTGTCTCCCTACTCTCACTGCACTCCCTCGCGTGTCGCAGAGAGCGCTTCCATTCCTTCCCGCAGCCTCCAGGCCGCAGAGCAGCGTCCGTCTTTGTCTCTCCCGCGCCAGTGTCTCAGTGAGTCGGTCGCGTTCACTCGGCTCGGGGGCACGTGCCAGGCAGGCTCCAGGGGGCTGCGCTGTATTGTCACAGCAGCTGTCACGTGTTGGCGTCGTCATAATCACCGTCACGTTCATGTAACAAGAACTGTCACGTGATTGGTTTGTCTCAACTGTCACGAGTTTGTATTGTCACAGCAGCTGTCACGTGTTGGCGTCGTCATAATCACCGTCACGTTCTTGTCACAAGAACTATCACGTGATTGGTTTGTCTGAACTGTCACGAGTTTGTATTGTCACAGCAGCTGTCACGTGCTGGCGTCGTCATAATCACCGTCACGTTCTTGTCACAAGAACTGTCACGTGATTGGTTTGTCTCAACTGTCACGAGTTCGTATTGTCACAGCAGCTGTCACGTGTTGGCGTCGTCATAACCACCGTCACGTTCTTGTCACACGAACTGTCACGTGATTGGTTTGTCTGAACTGTCACGAGTTTGTATTGTCACAGCAGCTGTCACGTGTTGGCGTCATCATAATCACCGTCACGTTCTTGTCACAAGAACTGTCACGTGATTGGTTTGTCTGAACTGTCACGAGTTTGTATTGTCACAGCAGCTGTCACGAGTTGGCGTCGTCATTATCACCGTCACGTTCTTGTCACAAGAACTGTCACGTGATTGGTTTGTCTCAACTGTCACGAGTTTGTATTGTCACAGCAGCTGTCACGAGTTGGCGTCGTCATAATCACCGTCACGTTCTTGTCACAAGAACTGTCACGTGATTGGTTTGTCTCAACTGTCACGAGTTTGTATTGTCACAGCAGCTGTCACGTGTTGGCGTCGTCATAATCACCGTCACGTTCTTGTCACAAGAACTGTCACGTGATTGGTTTGTCTCAACTGTCACGGGTTTGTATTGTCACAGCAGCTGTCACGTGTTGACGTCGTCATAATCACCGTCACGTTCTTGTCACAAGAACTGTCACGTGATTGGTTTGTCTCAACTGTCACGAGTTTGTATTGTCACAGCAGCAGTCACGTGTTGGCGTCGTCATAATCACCGTCACGTTCTTGTCACAAGAACTGTCACGTGATTGGTTTGTCTCAACTGTCACGAGTTTGTATTGTCACAGCAGCTGTCACGAGTTGGCGTCGTCATAATCACCGTCACGTTCTTGTCACAAGAACTGTCACGTGATTGGTTTGTCTCAACTGTCACGAGTTTGTATTGGCACAGCAGCTGTTACGAGTTATGTATTGTCACAAGAACTATCACGTGTTAGGATTGTCTCAAGAACTGTCCCGTAATTGTATCACCACAACCGTTACGTTCTTGTCACAAGGATTGTCACAAGAACTATCACGTGTTAGGATTGTCACAAGAACTGTAACATTCTTGAATTGTGAGAAGAACTGTCACGTGCTTGAATTGTCACAATAACTGTCACTTGCTTTAATTTTTTTCAAGCACTGCCACGTGTTAGCGTTGCCTCAAGTGCTGTCACATGCTTATTGTATTGTCACCGTAATCACTGCCATTGCACAGACGGCTTTCTGAAGCCTGTACGTAGGCTAGGGAGAGAGAGAGAGGCGTGTGTGTGCATGGCCTTGCATTCTTGTGCAGATTCAGACCCGCCAGGGGTGGCGTGGAATGGGTATTCCACAGGCGTGCGGAGGCATTCTTTTGGACAAATACGCAGAGTCCTCCACTGGGTTCCATTACACAACAGCAATAGGTCATTATACCCGCAGTGAATGCTTTGTTAAAAGACAGATTCGCCATATATGTTTAACGGACTGTTGGATCAAGTGCGCTTAGCGAGCGTCTATGAATACTGGTGCGGCACACGAGAGGGTGGGTGGCCAGCACCAGGCCCGGACATCTTTATCACCCAAGTGGCAGTATATTTGAGGCTGAATTGACCCATAACCAGTTCAGATAATCGTCACTGGTGTTGTCCAAGAGCACGAATCGAACTCAGGTCGCCAGGTTCGTAAAGTAGGGCAGTGACCGCGACACTACCGCTCAAAGGGCATTCACACATACACAGCTTGATTGTCTGATCTAACATGGGAGCCCAATGAGATGGACGTCCCTCCAGGCGGTGATGGAGGCTAACAGACAACGCTGATATCGCAGAGCGAGTTCCAGGAGTCGGTTGAGTCGCCAAAAACACGAATTCTGGAATCGGCGCTGCAGATAGTTGCATAGCTCTCCAGTCCGCCTGTCACTATCTTGCTGGTGAGATGATCAGGGTGAACTCCTGCTGTTCAAATGAGCATTGAGGCATTGGTGCTCATCTCCTGTTTACAGCTCTGAGCCAGCGGTGGAAAGTTCATGTTCCTATAGCGGGGTGAGTTTATCCAAAAGGACAACCACTGTTCACTTCCCCACAAAGTGGTACTCGTTTTATGAACCCAGGAGGGACGGATGATGGGCTGAGTCAACCATTAACCAGGACTTGAACTGGCAACTTTTCCGATTGTGAGCTGCTCGCTCTACCGCTGAGACACCTCGTCGGACTGTATTGGAATCTTGTTGGTCAGACGGCCCATTATGTAACACGCCACACATACACAGAGTGCGTGCACAATCTCACTTCACAGTGAGCCGATGGCCTCCGCACTGGCCGTGGACTCGTGCGTGGACTTCTCGGCGTGGCTGAAGGCGCAGGGCGTGAATGCCGAGGTAGCCCGGGCCATGGACTCTGAGCTCGGCATCCGCGACTACGGAGTCCTGCGCGCCTGCGTGGGCGACGGCCACGTCCGCGCCGAGCTCCTGGCCGCGGCACGCGACCGCCTGCCCTTCGGCTTCTACGCCGTGCTGCGCCGGGTCGTGCACTCGCTGCACCTGCCGGAGGCCGAGGGGCCGCGGTCGGAGACGGCGCTGGGCGACCTGCTGGACGTGCTGGTGGTGCTGTTCGGCGGACTCGGCCGGGAGCTGCTGCTCTCTGCGCAGAAGCTGGGGGAGTTGGACGGCGGCCGGACGACCCCGCAGGCGGCGAGGTTGAAGAGCACCACGATGGAGGATAACCGCGGTGAAGTGGACGAGCGTGAACTCTCAAGTAACAGTGAGCTGTTTTTATCATGTCCACCCGGAGTCCCGTTTCAGTATTGGAAATTGATATTTGGCGCCTGTTTCTGGTTTCTCTGTATGTATGTGTAGGTGTGCGTTAAACTTCTTTTGCACCGCAATGTCACCAACCGTGCTAATAGGAGGTGGGGGAAATGTGCTGTGGGTTTTTGAGCAACTTTAAGGGCATTGTGGGTTTCTCTTCCACAGTTAACTGCGCAGAGTTTGGAAACTTTGAACCCCCCACATCGGCTCAGGATTTCGAAGCTCCTGACTGGACCAACCCGGGTAAGTGGCACCCATTGGTGGATTTCTATCGAGGCAGTGTAAATCACTGCGGCGCGTCGTGTGTGGTTTTAGCTTATTTTAACGTATTGGCGGTACACCGTTGATTGTGCGCAGTAAAAATAACAAAACATTTCCAATAATTATTTATTTTCCCACAATTCGCAACCCTGGTCAGAAAATCTTGCTGGGTGGTGGTGTGTCAAAATCAGTTCTCGTGATTTTGAAGCAGTCGGAAGATGAATGTTTACATGAGCGGCTGAACACGAAGAAGCTCCACAGTCTGTTAACGTATAGCAGCACCCAGCCTGATGACGATTGGCTGCTCTGTGTTCCAAAGGCAGATTTGACTCCCCGTGCCCTAGACTTGGCTGGATGGTTCCTCGTTTCATTTCCGGAATAATTTACTGGCGGAAGGTGGCATAAAAAGATGATGACTCGTGCTGTCACATGTTCGAATGGGAAAGTGGTTGCTGAATCTAAGGCAACTTCTGTTGGAGAGTCTGCAGCTCATTCAGGGGGAATGGCGACATCGTCAGGACTGTTTACGAGGACCGGTGTGTTGTGCTGCACCGATGTGGTACCACCAACACTGACAAGCTGCCGTGAGTGGGTCCCCTGGGCTGAAGGAAAACTGTGCGGCGTGATAATTCATGCTCATTCATCGAGCTAAAAAAGTGTAAGATGGTGGCAGTCTGAGAAGTGAAATTCAACATGTTAAAGAAGCACTTTAACATGCACTGCCTTACCAACACTTACTTCACCTGGAATGGTACATTCTACAAACAAAATGTGGGTACCCCAATGGGCTCTCTCTTATCGCCAGTGGTAGCGAATGTTTTCATGGAGAAATTTGAGACAGATGCCATCCAGACATCCACCCTACGTCCCTCCTTGTGGAAGAGATACGTAGATGACACGTTCGTCATCTGGCCACATGGCCTGTCAGCACTGAACCAATTTTTCAACCACATCAATTCCATACACCCATCTATCAAATTCACCATGGAAGTGGAAAATGATGGCAAGCTACCATTCCTGGATGTTTTGATCGAGAAGAGACTTGGTGGCTCGTTGGGACACTGTCTACAGGAAAGCCACCCACATGGATTCCTATCTAAAGCCTGACTCCCACCACCATCCAGCCCAGAAGAATTCCCTCATCAAAACACTACGCCCATAGGGCCCATTGCATCTCCGACCAGCACCACCTATCCAGTGAACTGGAGCACGTACGCCAAGCCCTCAAGATGAATGGATGTTCGGACCGCACAATCTGCAAAGCTGTATCCCCAACCATGGGTAGAGAACCATCTGAGGACCCAATCAAAACCATCACCTTGCCATACATTGCAGGGGTTACCAAAAATATTTCCAAAATCTTGAACAAACACAAGATTTAGTTTCGATCCAACACAGTACACAAAAGCCATGACCTGATCCCGCCTGTGAAAGATTTTGATTCCTGACATGCAATACCCTGATGTCTACAAACTAAGTTGTGTCTGTGGTAGCAGTTACATTGGGGAAACGAAACGACATGTCTTGGACCATGTTCGCAAACACAAGGCAGAACCAATACCTCTGCCGTAGCTGATCACTGCTTGAACGCTATGGGCTCACACATTGTTTTTTCCGAGACCAAGGTACTCTGCAAACCTTCAGGCAACCATCAAAGATTTGTTCATGAAGCCATCCAGATATATAAACACAGACATAACTTCAACCAAGAAGATGGGTACAAAATGAGCAATCATTGGTAGGACGTTATTAACCAGGTAAAGCCTTAACTGGTTGTTGATGTTTCCATTCTACCTACCATTGTCAGCAGTTATTTCCGACTCTGAGTTACATTACCAATTTACATTACCAAGTTAAATGTCTTTACATTAACGGGCTAAATGTCTCACTAATAAAGCCAACGTTGCCCCTGGCTGTGATGTTGTGTGTGTGTCTCTCGGTTTGTGTGTCTCTCTCTCTGTGTTTGTCTCCTTATATGTCTTTCTCTTGTGTCTCTTTGTGTGTCACTTTGTGTGTATGTCTCTGTGTGTGGGTGTGTCTTTCTGTGGGTCTCTCTCTGGGTGTGTCCCTCTGTGAGTGTCTCTGTGTGAGAGATCTGGGCAAGGTCCCATCGGTGAGTTCCTCCGGCGGGTAAGGCTGCGATGGCTGGGTCATGTAGCCCGCATGCCCGGCCACCGCATGCCGAAACAGCTTTTGTTCGGCCGGATTGAGGGGGCTAAACGGGCGCGGCACGGGCTAGAGAAGAGATGGAGTGATGTGGTACAGGAGGACGTGGAGCTGATTGGACTTGCCGATGACTGGTACCAGCGGTGTCAAGATCGGCCTCTGTGGAGGAGGCTCGTGAAGGATGCTACTGGGCAGTTGGAGGTAGTCGCCCTCCAACAACAACGGAGGGCGGAGGAGCGACGCTCACAACAACGAGCGGAGCGCCGGGTGGCTGAAGCACAGCGGGTTGGCACAGTAGGGGGCACAGGTGGTGCATCAGCCAGTCATCTCAGTCAGTCGACCCGTGGCACCTGGGTCTGCCCCGTGACCTCTTGCCAGCGGGCGTTCGACACTTCACGTGGCCTCAGGGTGCACATAGCCTGGCACAAACGTCGTGGTGACGTCACCGCCACTTAGTGGTGAATGGCGGTTGTTGTTGTTGTCTCTGTGTGTGTCTCTCTGTGTGTCTCTCTAGGTTGGATCTCTCTATGTGTCTCTGTGTGTGTGTCTCTCTGTGTGTGTGTCTCTCTATATGTGTCTCTCTGCATATGTCTCTCGTTGTGTGTGTCTCTCTCTGTGCGTGGATGTGCCTCTCGGTGTGTGTCTCTCCTTCCCTCGATGTGGTGTCGTTTGTTTTCTAACGAGCTGGATGTTTCACTAGCACAGCTACCATTGGTTGGTTCGTTTACATTGACACGCTAACCTCTCGCAATACAATGGCCACCCCTCAGCTCTCGCATCAACCACACCCCCCCTTCCCCCCCATCTCGGTTCCCATATTTGGATTTCCCACTCGCTTAGGCACAATCTCTAGCCCCCACCCTCTTGCCCGATGCGGCAACCCCCCCTCCCCCCCCTCTCGGCTCTATATATATAAGGACTTGTTTCAGCAGCCTGGTTCTCTATCCCACCTGAGGATGATTGCTTGTGTGGCGATCAAAACGTCGTGATCTATTTAAAAAAAAAATTCTGCCTACTTGACTTTACCGAAAGGACCAAAGAGTAAGCACTGCAAATAAATGGTTACAATGATGCACAAATCAACAGGGCATTGAATGCCAAAACCAAATCAAATAACATGAGCATTGAAACTGCCCAAGTAATTAAAACGATAAAACTACCGTACATTGTGAGAGTAACTGATAAACTAGCCAGATGTTTAGAAAAACAAAACATCCAAGTCAGATTTAGTACGGTACATAAAATACAGAAATTAATATCTGGTACAAAAGATGTATTACCGAAGCTATCAACAGAAGGCGTGTACAGGATGAACTACATGTGTGGAAAATGTTACGTGGGGCAAACAGGACGAATGATCAGCACGAGACTAAAAGAACATCAGATAAATATTTAATACTCCCAAATACAACTGTCAGCAGTAGCAGAACACACGTGCCAATAAGGACACTCGATTGATTTTGATAATGTTGAAGTTCTGTGCAAAACTAGCTACTACTGGGAAAGACTAATTCGATAATCTATCGAAATTGAAAGAAATCAAAATTATTTTAACCGTTTGGATAGCTGCCGCCTTAGTGCTGCGTGGAAGCGAATCATCAAATAATACATTATTTAAATGCATGCCTATAAAAGGCACCATACTGCAATCGGGATTACCGTTGGTACAGCTATTTTAATACACACAATAGACAGGAAGGACAAGATCAAAGGGCCTGCATAATACACATGCATAATGTACGTTGACTCATTAACCCCCCCCCCCCCACTTTGCGAAAGAGTGCAGAAGTGTGGCCACCACATCTACGCCTCTATATAAGGGACAAAACAGACTGCTCCACAAGTCTGTCACCTGATGAAGCTGGTTGTAATTACTGGCGAAACGTCGTACTCAGTTTGTAAATGTGATGGCTTGGCTCTCCAACCCACCGGTGTGCTGTACTAGTGACGAATTGGCCAAGTTCTGTTTATGGGACAACCCTTACTAGTTAGTTGCGTTGGGTGGTGGCAGGTTTCTAACGACACATTTATATATTTACGCGATCTAACCCCAAAAACCTCTATTGTGGATTATATTGGTCGCGAAAGCCTATGTGTTAAACGTTTGGTTATGTTGTGGGTGTACTGGAAATGTGGATCCCTCAGTGAATGATAGCAATTGGCTCCACGAAAACCATCGGTAATTGGAATTATCGTTAATCGAATATAAAAAATACATGTTAAAGGGCTTAATTTGTTCCAAGACGATCGTAAGTTGACTTTTTGAATGAGCACTCTCAAGTCACCAGGGCACTGTCTGGTTGAAATTACGTGATGAAGCCGCTTCCTTTCTGCTTGCTCAGCTGCGGGTGAAGACGACGCGCTGACCTCACCCATGGATTGCGCAAACGCAAACCACCTGTGGAACAGAATTAAGCTGGAACAAGTTGAAGCCGTTTCTTCCTACGAGTCTCTGAGAGGTAAAGCACAACATCGACGACGTTCTAATCTGCTTCCGTAAAGAGATGTCAGGCATTTCACGATGCGGTCTTCTTCATACGGCTGATGTCGATGTAGAGCAACGGGTAGAATTTTTAATTGAGGTGGTCAGGTCGAATAATTGCGTCGGGAGTAGTGTGCAGTGGTGATTCATTGCTGTGATGACGATGCCTCCTCCGTATTTGTGGATTGGACATTGAGTCGTCGTTATTTGTTCCACCGTCTGTTGTGGGTGACCACAGGCTCCGCACACAGCTGGAGCGTTTTACTTTTTTTCGATTGTGCACGATCAAGCGTCCACTTCTGCTGCCGTGGTTTGTGCAGTGGATCCTGTTTCCAGTTGTAGCTCTATAAGCTCCACGGAAGATTAAAAAAAACCTAGGGATCTTCTGCGGCATCGGGTCTTTCACAAGGAGGCGTTTGGTTGTGACTTCTTGTCAACTCCATTTGGCTTTCCAAGCTTTCATTATCGTCGTCGTCATCATCATCAGGACTGAAGTTACCTCCTTGTAGCTTGAGCACATGTGGCCCAAAAGGGTTTGCAGCGTGACATCAAGCGGTGGTGGTGAGGGACGTTATTGAGATGCCGGTGGGTCGGGAGACGTCCCAGTAAAGCCTCGGAAAATCTGGACTTGTTAGGTGGAGGGCAACGGGCATACTGCAAATAATGTAATATTTTTAAACCATTAATTTGAATTACATGTATACAGTCGGTAACATAGGCCAGTTGTTCTTCATAGCAAATGCTGCTATTGTGGAGGTTACATTCAGCATACCAGTGACATTTCCTTGCTTTTCACGTAGAGATAGTATAACGTATAACGCAGGTTTACTATGCTTTCGTATTGTAATGCAAAGACAAAGATCAAGTGCTTTTGGCGAGCACCTATGAAGGTCGGCACGGCACACGACGGGGTGGGTGGCCAGCACCACGCCCGGCCGCCTTTGTCTCCCGAGTGGTGATATTAACACATCGCACCAGGTGCTCAGTGGAGGCTGAGTCGACCTAGGGGAGGCCCAGGACCAGTTCAGATAATCGTCACTGGTGTTGGTCGTGAGCAGGAATTGAACTCAGGTCGCCGGGTTCGTAGTGCAGCATAGCGCTAACTGCTACGCTACCACGTAGTGTATTTGTGTTTTACGTTTCGCCATCATTCCTGAGGGGTGCACGAAGGCTTACAACCATACACAAGGAATACATCAGCAAATCTTCACTGAGCACTTGATAAATGAAGCACCTCCAATTAGCATGATTGGATACGTACGGTGCGAAAGAAGTTAACTTACATGCAGGAGGATTTCTCCACAACTCTGGCTATCGCTTGATGAAGCTGGTTGTAATTATTGGCAAAAACGTTGTACTCGAATTGTAAATGTTGTGGGTCTACGCTCCAACACACCTTTGTGCTGAACTGGTAACTAATTGGCACATTTTGTCTACATGACAAACCTTACTTTATTGGCTGTCGGGTGGTGGCGAATTTAACGACACATTTATGCAATCTAACCCAAAAACCTCTATCTGTGTGGAGTTTGTATGTTAATAAAGAATTCAAGCTTTCGTGACTGCATAAATTACTCATTGTTTTTTTTCGGTAAAATTCACGTATGTAGAAATACCATAAAATTATATTATAATAAATCAATCACGACGTTTCGACCGCAACACAAGCGATCTTCATCAGGTGTAAAAAACAAATAGCGAGGGAGCATATAGGGTGACACCAATGCAACAAATAGAGAGCGTTAAACTGCACGGAAGTAAATACAACAAGAAGATGAGAGACGAGAATTCAACAAACATAACAAAACATTATGTGATGCAAAACCATATTCTTAGTTCTTTCGGTAAAGTCACGTTGAAGGGAAACAATAAAATAATAAAATATATAAAACATTATTGTTTCCCTTCAACGTGACTTTACCGAAAGAACTAAGAATATGAATTACTGCAGTCACGAAAGCTTTAAATCAAGATGCAAAACCAGTCAGGCCAACAACACAGTTAGACACTTGCCTGGCGGACCACGAATTTCAGAAGACTGCTAAATTTCGTGTTCATCCTCTGGGTTGAACATACCAGCATAGACAGAGTGAACAAATACGAGGTACAAGGCAGCAGAAATACATATACAGGGACACCAAGAAAAAGGGCCGGAGGGATGAACAGACAGAGGCTTAAAATAAGCAGTAGAGGTAGAGGGAGGGGCCGAAGAGAGCAAGGGGCACGGCAGCAGAAGAGGGGGGAGGGGTAGGAGAAAACAAGGGGCGCAATAAGTTTAGGAAAGAATTGTAAAGGTAACTTCCCCGTAGAAGTGTGTTAATAAAGAATTAAAGCTTTCGTGACTGCATAAATTACTCATTGTTTTTTTTTCGGTAAAATTCACGTATGTAGAAATACCATAAAATTATATTAAAATAAATCAATCACGACGTTTCGACCGCAACACAAGCGATCTTCATCAGGTGTAAAAAACAAATAGCCAGGGAGCACATAGGGTGACATGTATATGTATTTCTGCTGCCTTGTACCTCGTATTTGTTCACTCTGTCTATGCTGGTATGTTCAACCCAGAGGATGAACACGAAATTTAGCACTCTTCTGAAATTCGTGGTCCGCCAGGCAAGTGTCTAACTGTGTTGTTGGCCTGACTGATTTTGTATCACGGAATTTTTTCTTAGGTTTGTTGAATTCTCGTCTCTCATCTTCTTGTTGTATTTACCTCCGTGCAGTTTAACGCTCTCTATGTGTTGCGTTGATGTCACCCTATATGCTCCCTCGCTATTTGTTTTTTACACCTGATGGTTTCCTCCCATAGCTAACAAAAACACCGTACAGTGTAACTTGTATTGGCCGCAACATCCCGATTATTTAAATTTACCTGCAAATGACTCAATGAGGGAAAACACCCACAGCGAGAACAACATTGCCCCCTCCTGACAAAACTTGGCAGGACTCCCCTGAACAAACTATATATGTATACATGTTGAACTTCTTTCACACCGTACGTAGCTGACCGTGCTAATCGGAAGTGCGGGGGGAAGGACAACAAACTAAACACAACACGAATCTGTTTTAAATAAATGAGTTTTCAATCTCGATGAAGATTTTAAAGTGCATAGCTCCGGTGGCTTCCTAATATCAGAAGGAAGAGTGTTCCAGATGGCCGCACAAATGTATCTGAAAGCACCGCGCGATGCGGTGACCGTCTTTGTTCGATGGGCTAACCAAAGCCACTGCTGCTGCGAGGTGACCGGAGTTCACGTGATGATATTTTATGCTCCTTTACGAGATCAGTGAGGTATCGTGGTTCATTTGTGGCAAGCACTTTCTGTGTAAAGGAGTGCGACTTTATAATGCCGTATTCATTCAGCAACCAGGGTTTTCCTGGGTAAACAAGGGGAATAACAACAACGTATTTTTCTTCTTATTATTATTATTATTCACAAGTGCATAAGCTGCTGGGTGTGATGGTGCCTCTGCCGGGTTTTCATGGGTAAACAAGGGGAATAACAACAACGTATTACTATTATTATTCACAAGTGCATAATAAGCCGCTGGGTGTGACGGTGCCCCCGCCCCATGTCGCAGCGATGGGCGCAGAGAAGCCGTTCCCGTGCGAGGCGTGTGGCCGGAGCTTTGCCAGCCCCGCCGACCTCAAGAAGCATGCGGTGGTCCACGCGTCAGGCCGCTGGCCCCACTTGTGCGACGCCTGTGGCAAGTGCTTCTCCAAGGCATCGCACCTGACGCGCCACCGCAGGACGCACACGGGCGAGCGGCCCTACGAGTGCGACCTCTGCGGCAAGGCCTTCTCCCAGGTGCCCAACCTCAAGAGGCACCGGAGGACCCACGGCGGAGAGCCACCCGTGGCGGCGTGCGCCGACTACGACGGGGGTTTCTCGCCCAGCCCACAGCTCGTGGCGCACCGGCGGCTGAAGCACGGCAAGGGCGGCACACCATCACCGCCGCTGCCATCAGCATCATATGGAGACGGTAGTCGCGAGGATTAAAACGGAGACTGCCCTCCGCACATCTTACATGTCCGCCAGCTCTCGTCAATAAAGCGCACGTGGTTTTGTTCACACGGTGAAGTGATTTTTGCCGCAGCGAGAAGCCAGTCCGAGCCGCGACCGCTTTCCTGCTGCTGCTCCTGCATGTGGGCAGATTCAAGCTCGTGGGTCCCAGGTTGGGAGAATGTATGTAGTAGCAACAGCAGCAGTGGAAGCAACTGTGACAGCAGCTGCTACTGCTGCTTTCACAGCTACAGCAGTAGCAGCAGCAGTGACTGCAGTGACAGCAGTGACAACCCACCCCAACTGGACATCTCCACCCCTACTGGACATCTGTGAAAAAGAGCTTGATAGCTCATCGAATTTCTCCCAAGATATTAATTTTGATTGTTCTGATTGAGTAGCAGTGACAGCAGTAGCAGCAGTACGATAAACGATGGCTTTGCGAATCGTCGCCAAGGCTGCCGGAAGTGACGGGGTCTGTGGAGTAGTAAATATTACGCCACGATGGACACTGTGATCCTGGGTATCGACCCCGAGCCCGACTCCGACCCCGACCCTGGGCGCGTGGCTTTCTGGATGTGAAAAGGCTCATGGGGGACGGCATGGCGCTTCAGGTTTTTGTGGAAATGCTCGCGGCGCTCCGCTCGGAAGCTGGGAGCAGTTTGCGCGTTTCTGTCACGAGATGCGGTGTGGAGGCTCGGCAACGTCGCCAAAGAGCCTCCAGCGGGCGACGATCGGCGTCTCGTTGCTCCGCTTTGGGTTGGGCAATGCTCTGCACGCAGGGGCGCATCTCCCTATTTCAACTGGGGGGCTATGCAAGATTTGACTGTGGGCCCCCCTCCTTTCACCCAACTAATTTTTACTGAAATAGCTATGGATGTTTTTAACTCGTATACAATAATATGTTAGGTTATAACTATACTGTGTATATGTTGTTCTCATATTTTAGCTGAATAATTTATCTAAACACGTTTGTACTTGTTTATCTGTTGGGGCCCCCTTGTGGCCGACTGGGTCTCCTCTGCGTGACGTAATGCTGCCGCGTACTCCCGCCCCCATAGTACGCCCCTGTCTGCATGCATAAAAAGTGTTAGAAGGCGCTTGCACAGTTTTTGTAATCTGGTGGCAGATTTCCTCTTATCTGGAGATCAGCAATGTTATCAATCCCATCCACCGTGCAGCGATTAACATGACCACTGCCGGTTTCAAAGTAATTTCTGGCGCAATTTATCCAAGGATCTCAGTGAGCCATGCACGAAGTTAAGAAATATAAATAGTCCAGAGTCCACTGGTGGCAGGACATCCATAGTTTTGGCGCAGCGCATGCAAAGGATCGGTCACCCCAGGTGCAGAGTCCAGTTCTCAGCACATGGAGCAGATGTAAATTAGCGGATTAGCGAGGTCGTGACAGTACGTGTGAGTGAATCAGCTGTTGAATGTAAAGTGGTGCAAGGCCATTTAAGGCCCTTGTATGTTAGCAGCAACACTTTAAATTGTACCCTAAATTTAATTGAAAGCCAATGCAGATATTTTATTACAGGTGTAGTGACTGTGATTGTCACTGTGGGGTACCAGGCTTACGAAGCCACGGCGGATAATGTGTTGGCATTATGTGTAGCCCGCTTACTGGGCATAGTACTAGCCCTAGCGGGACTTGGGTGAGCGCCAGTCAGCGCGGAGGCACCACGTACAGTGTGCGGTGCGGGCTCCCGGTGAGGAGCGAGAGAGTCAGCCAGCCAGGGTTACGTTTGGGGCATGATACGCTGGTTGACCTGCCGACATGTGACCGCATGATATTGGAGGGGGGCCACCGGTGGATGGGGGCCGCTGGGCGGTCACGTGGTATAAAAGAGCTCTCGGGAGCCTTCGGGAAAGAGCTCGAGAGATCTAGAAGGTGGGCGGGGCGAGGGGCGGAGCCAGCCCCAGCCCAAGCCAATATAACGGGGGCCCCGTGAGGGGCTCGGGGTTTTTCGTGTTGCTGGTGATGAAGATCCATGTCGGGTAAAATAAACCTCTAGCCACGCGGTCCGGGAACCAGCTTGTGGTCCAAACCGGGATAGCGAACCGTGTCTAGTTCCGCCGTAGCGTGGCTAGATGGGCATTCAACACCCAATTGTAGGTTGTGTTATGTTATGTTGAGTTACTGAAATAAATAGTGTTGCTCCCAAGACAACGTCTGCGACTCAGTTGGACTCACTACACAGGGGTAATATGCTCACGGAATGAGGTTCGCGTGAGCATCCTGGCGGCCGTGTTCTGAACCAGCCTCAGTCGGCCCAAGACCTTGGCCGGATCCCCAGGTAACAAAGCCTCGCAATAATACGAGAGAAGACAAGGGCGTCCACTCGTCATTAGAGGTCAGTAGGTGACAGAATGTGACGTAAGCGGGCAGTGTTTCTAAGGTGGAAGAAGGAGATCCCGACCACCTTAGAAACGTGTGCATTGAAGGAGAGTGAATGGTCAAACACAACTCAAAGTTTGTTAACCACTTTCACGGGACAAGTCGGTACATTGTCAATTTCCAGTTTAAACGCCTCTTAGGAAACCAGTTGTTTTGGAGGTTTGATGAGTAAAATATTGATTTTGGTTATGTTTAGATGTTGGTAGTTGTGGTTCAGCCATGACAGTATTAAAGATAGCGAAGTGGTGAGTTGTGGGTCAGCTGTAGTGGATTGGGGAGAGATAGAAATATAGCTGTGTATCGTCTGCGTCGCAATGATACATGAGTTCAAGTTGCTTGAGGAATGAACCCAAAGGTGTTAAATTAATATTCAAAAGCAGGGGTCCCAGGACAGTCCTGTGGGACACCATACAGAACTGGTTTGAGGGTTGATGTGAAGCCGTTTTGCGAAACATGTTGGGCTCTGGTTGTTAAAAAACAGCGGAGCCAAATCAGGGCTGAGTCACAAATTCCCATCAAGGTTTCAAAACGATGGGAAATATTTTCATGATCGATGGAGTCAAATGCAGCACTAAGATGGAGAAGGACGAGTGCACCAGTGAGTCCCTTGTCAGCCAACTGAAGGAGGTCATTCACTTCCCGAACCAATGCTGTCTCCGTACAGTGGCCCACTAGGAAGCCTGATGGAAAATGGTCCAGAAGTTCAATGAATGTCAAATGAGCGGTTATGCAGTGTGCTACAGCACGTTCAAGGACTTTAGAAATAAATTAAAGATTGGAGATGGGGCGAAGGTTAGAGAGATCACCCGGATCTAAGCCAGGGTTTTTTAGAAAGGGTGTAAGAGCAGATGTGAAACTGGTTGGAATGATGCCCGTGTTGAGAGACTGGTTAAAGAAGCTGAGAACGAAGGGGCTCAGTAGCAAGAAGTTGTCTCGGAGGAGTCTGGTAGGAAAGGGATCGAGTGGGTAGAAAGTGGGGTGGGAGTCATGAATTAAATTAGTGAGTTCAGTGTTGGTGATGGGAGTAAACGCTAACAATGGAGAGCCTGTAAACCTGGTGGAGGATTCTATCAGTGGTAGGGGAATCAATGGCACAGAGTATGTGGGATCGAATGGTGTATATTTTGTTCATAAATAACCTTTGAATGGAGTTGTAATGGCTGTGGATGAGGGGGCTTTGGATGGATTTTCCTTACTCAAGAGCTGGAAAACAAGGTCCTTGGGTTGTTTTTAGTGCCAGACGACCGGGTAATTAGGTGGATTTGGACAATTTAACCAAACTGATAAATATTAAGTTGCCCCTCATAAATTTGTTAGTGCACTTCGAGGCGAGTCTTCATCCACTGACGCTCTGCCCTTAAGAAGAGGATTCCCCCCCCCCCCCCCTTAGTTCAGCAGAGTACCAAGGGCAGGGCAGTACCACCGGTGGTTGTGCGTGTTCGTCGTGGAGCCATGTGATTGAGAATATCGTGTTGAGTTGTACAATTTGGCAGCCTCGTCGACTGGGAGGTCCAGCTCCTGAGTAAGAGGAGAGCTGGATAAAATGTGTTTGAGCGTGGCAGGAGAAATAGACTTGAGATTACGTCGTAGCCAAGGACTGGAAGTTTTACCAGGGCTTGGTTTGAAAACATCCGTCAAATTCTCCGCGATGAGGAAGAGCTCGAGGCGATGACTGACGACGCCGGTTTTTTTCCCGCACGTGACCCAACACCAATGTGACAACACCAATGGCGGCGTCGCGGTGCGTTCCAGACTCGGGATCGAGTGACCCCGCCGTGGGATTGGTGGCGTGGGATTGGTGGCGTGTGCACGCGGCCCTGCTGCAGCTCACCGAGCCACGCAGCCCGACCATTAAAACGGCTCAGATTGTACGTACGTGTTTGTACGTTTACCTTCTTTCGCACCGTACGTAGTCAACCGTGTTAATCGGAGATTCGGGGGAAGGACCACAAACTAAACGCAGGGTATGCGTTTTTAAAACATTCTTCTTAATTGTGACCAGTAGTGTGCATAGATGACAGGATGTGACATTGGATGATAGCAGCTTTTTTTTTTACACGTGCGGTGTTGCTGGGTTTTGTCAATTGAGCTCATGTGACGGACGGTCAGTGGAAAGGTTTTGTAAGGGAGAGTTGTGATTATGTTAATTAGGTATAATTAGCGCACTCGCCATTGACATTTGGCATGTTGAGACGTGATCACATTTTGTTGCTCCTTATCGCGTTATAAGAACGCGGCATCCAGGCTGCGAGCTTCCGATTGTCGTGATTTCGTGCTGTCATTTCCCCCTGCTTTGTGCCTGGGTCGTGCTCGCTCGTTTTCGCCGGCGGCTCGCGACTGCCACTTGAAGCGTGCCTATCGGCCCGCTCGGCTTTCGGCGTAGCCCTCGCTATGGTACTCGACGCGTCCGTGCGTCACGGCTATAATCCTCTCCACGGTGGCTGTGAGTGTTTCACCGCTCTGCGGTTTACCGTGCAGTATGTATGGATTACATTTTTTTATATCCACAGCAGTGAAAGCCATCGTTTCAGTATTATAACCAGTAAGCTAATAATACAAGTAATAACCAAAGTACCACATCCTCATTGTTACGCCTATATCTGTACTTTCAGTCATATAATCCCCCCTCCTTTTTTAAAGTAAATTTAATTTTAACGATTCGTTGACATATTTCCTGCCTCACTTGTACCGGTTTGCAGGCCGTTCTGTAATTTTAAAAAGTAGGCTTTTGCGATCAATATCCATAATCTAGGTTTTTTGGGTTAGATCGCGTAAATATTAATGTGTCATTAAACCCGCCACAACCCTACACAGCCAATTAGTAAGGTTTGTCACGTAAAAAGAACATACCAATTAATTAATTACTGGCGAAACGTCGTAGACAGATTGTAAATGTTGTGGATTTGCTCTCCAACACACCGGTGTGCTGTACTAATAACGAATTGGCATGTTCTGTTTACGTGACAAATCTTACTGATTGGTTGTGTGGGTGGTGGGTGGTTTAACGATGCATTTATATTTATGCGATCTAACCCAAAAAAACCGATGTCATGAACGTTCTGTAATTGTCGGGCGGGGGGTGACCTGGAGCTGGCTTTCTGTGCCCGTTGGTTAGCCAGCCACAGCTGCGCTGGGCTGGCACGGCCTTGAATGGGCTCACCCAGAATGGCCTTATCGTGGCTTTTGCACGTGTAATGAGGGCCACCCCATCATGTAATCAGCTCATCGAAGGTTATGGGTGAATTGTTGCATCGCAGGACTACGAAAGTGACAATGCTTGGAGGAGGCCTTAATCCAGCAGTGGATTAACCATGGCTATATTTTTTTTACTATTTTTTTATTTTACCAAGTAAGCGCCAATGAGCTACAGTGAGGGAAAAAAGTATTTGATCCCCTGCTGATTTTGTACGTTTGCCCACTGACAAAGAAATGATCAGTCTATAATTTTAATGGTAGGTTTATTTGAACAGTGAGAGACAGAATAACAACAACAAAATCCAGAAAAACGCATGTCAAAAATGTTATAAATTGATTTGCATTTTAATGAGGGAAATAAGTATTTGACCCCCTCTCAATCAGAAAGATTTCTGGCTCCCAGGTGTCTTTTATACAGGTAACGAGCTGAGATTAGGAGCACACTCGCAAAGGGAGTGCTCCTAATCTCAGCTTGTTACCTATAAAAGACACCTGTCCACAGAAGCAATCAATCAATCAGATTCCAAACTCTCCACCGTGGCCAAGACCAAAGAGCTCTCCAAGGATGTCAGGGACAAGATTGTAGACCTACACAAGGCTGGAATGGGTTACAAGACCATTGCCAAGCAGCTTGGTGAGAAGGTGACAACAGTTGGTGCGATTATTCGCAAATGGAAGAAACACAAAATAACTGTCAATCTCCTTTGGCCTGGGGCTCCATGCAAGATCTCACCTCTTGGAGTTGCAATGATCATGAGAACGGTGAGGAATCAGCCCAAAACTACACGGGAGGATCTTGTCAATGATCTCAAGGCAGCTGGGACCATAGTCACCAAGAAAACAATTGGTAACACACTACGCCGTGAAGGACTGAAATCCTGCAGCGCCCGCAAGGTCCCCCTGCTCAAGAAAGCACATATACATGCCCGTCTGAAGTTTGCCAATGAACATCTGAATGATTTAGAGGACAACTGGGTGAAAGTGTTGTGGTCAGATGAGACCAAAATGGAGCTCTTTGGCATCAACTCAACTCGCCGTGTTTGGAGGAGGAGGAATGTTGCCTATGACCCCAAGAACACCATCCCGACCGTTAAACATGGAGGTGGAAGCATTATGCTTTGGGGGTGTTTTTCTGCTAAGGGGACAGGACAACTTCACGCATCAAAGGGACGATGGACGGGGCCATGTACCATCATATCTTGG